CCCTTCACCCACTTTTCGGTTGTCCGTCCCCCAGGGAGGAGGTCACATATAGTTCCTTGTAATCGGTTCCCTCTTTCCAACCCACTCTTGTCACATGTATACCTCTAGTTCTTCCCCTTCCTATCAGGTGTACAGCCCTATCTCATCCCCTTCCTGTTACACCTATGCCCATTGTACATCCCCTTCCTATAATGTGTATGCCTATTGTACTGCCCCTTCCTATGGTGTGTGATTGCCTGCAATCACGTCCCCCCAAATATAACCCTTGGTTAGCAATAAACGGGGTCCTTGAGCATCCTGTTGGGTCCCTGGCCCACCTTACCTCAGCCCACACTGTGCGTGGACCTGGCTGGTAAGATTATGGCCATCCAGGAAGTGAGCATGGTACCATGAAATGTGTCTGACTCCATTATTTCAATCTCTGTTCTAGCTCTCATGCTCTTGATGACTTTAATATAATATTTATATATCTCAACCGTACAATTGTGCATTACTGAACCCGTGATTGGGGGGGGGGGGGACTGGCACCACTTCCAACCACGGGTATAGGTGGAGCAGTAAATACGATGCTTAACATATATTAGAATTTGATATAAGCTGGACAGCCTTTCCAGATGTATTTTCTTAGAACTATTCAAGTAATGGGGTGGGCAGAAATGAGGAATGGCCCACAAGGTGGCAGTGTTTGAATGCACCGCTGTAAACTTAGAACCAGTTCACCATTCTAAGAAATTCAAGGCAAATACTGGAGAGCTACAAGCCTTCATGAAACAAGTACTTAGTGAAAAAAATCAAACTTTCAAATGTAGCAAGCTTAGCATTCTCTTATCATCAGAACACTCTAGCCATTAAAGCTCTCCACATTATGATTGAAAAGTGATCATATTTCTTGGTCCATCTTACTTTGAATTGCTTGTGTTTCTTCTGTATCTAAGTAAATAATCACATTTGGCTATTATTATTACACTACTCAAAAGTGGTTTGTTTCAAAATGGCAGCCTTCAGAATTTTTTGTTTTGTTTTATTTTGTAAGTACAACATCGATTTATTTCTTCAAGATAGTAAATGTTAATATAAATAAGAATTTCTTTAGAATCTAGTCTCCTTATTATAAAAGTCATGCCACTTATCACATGACTAATGTTTTAACCACTTATTGCCTATGGCAGCTAGAATTCAGATGCACTGCAGCCTTATACTTCTATTACAAATGTTAGCTTACGATGTATTTCAGACAAAATTGAAAAGAGACTTATCTGAGGACATACAAAGAAAAATGAAATTCTATTTTCTGAAGCCATCTTAAAAGTGTGTTTTCCCACATAAGGAAATCACTTTCTTTCTTTGTCAGAAAGTTGTCAGAAATGGAGATGTTAAAATAAAATTAGTGAGAAAGAAAATTAAAATAAAAGTAGTGAAAACATAGATATTGATGAGGTCTTTAATTACCGATTACTAAAGTTTCTTTCCCACTAACATCCTGAGATATGCAACTCACTGTAAATAAAACAAACTTCCTCACAACTGGAACAATAGATAACATCATAATACATAGAGAAGGGATTGAAAAAATAATAATAAGATGGCAGCCCAGGCACACACTCCAGACTCCTTGCATGCTGCACATTCTTAAAACCGGTAGAATAGACATTTAAAATCATTAAATTAATAAGTACACTGGAAAAATAGCCACTAAGGCCCAGAATTACAAGTATTCATTGAAAAATAGATTGGAAACCGGAGGACAAGAACGGAAATGGTAGCCACAAACACCAACAGGGCAGATTGCTGTGGATGGTAGTAGGAGCAGCGAGTGTTCCACTTCTAGATACGCAGGACGGAGTCCAGAGTTAAACTAAGAAGTAATTCATTGGAATATCAGCAGGAGTAGCTGAGTCAGATCCTCAGCCTCCCATGCCACAATAGCAGCGGGGACCCACAGTAGAACATAGGACTTTAGGCTTAATAGATAAATTATGCCCATGTGGCTGGAAAAATCTAGCAATCCAGAAATCACTTGTGGTAGTTATACAGTCTGTTGTCAACTTGAGACTTAAGAGTGAAGGGGTGGA